AGATGCTATAAAGTATCAAATATTGTTAGATTGCGTGTCAATTTAACTAGTGATATTACTACGGTAGTTGTTTAGAAGTTGCGTTTGTAAAAAGTCTGAAAATATTTCGGCGCGCGATTAAAGAAAACTACATACGTGGTAAATAAAATTCACACATTACTGTAGCAACCTAAATCTTGCTTGACTGTCATTAGGCCTTTATATCATTGTTAAAATAAGACAATAATATTAAAATATTATTATGTAAAATATGGTCAACAATATATTTTTACATAAATGAAATTGTTTATTGATCATAACCTTTCTCTAACAAAATAAAATTTACTTTAATATAAAATTATATACATATACAACTTGTAATATACTACAATTATATTTTATTTTTTCTCTACGTCAATATTTTTTTAAATTCTATTGCCAAAATCATTCTTTAATTACTTATATTTATAACCTCTTGTTTAACTTTTCTCTATTTGAGTTTATATTGCTCGATCTTTTACTTTAAGAGTAACACAACTCAAGAGATTAAATTTTCTAGTAAGAAAAACTACATTTTAACTTATAAAAATTAATGATTAATTTAATATAATAGTTTCGGTAAGAAACATTATTTTAACATGGTTAAATATCATTTTGGTTATTTTTGTTTTACAATTATAATTAAGAAATCTTTTTTTTTCATTGTAATGATTTTGACGATTTTTTAAAATCTTCTATACTAAATCGATATAACTTTGAAGTCGTATATATATTAATATATTGATATTTTGTTGATTTAATTGAATAAGAGGTAATGATACCAATTCTTAAAAAAGAGTATCGAATTTCAGAATCTGCTTTTTCTTAGCAACCAGATAATTTCTTAGAAAGAGAGAGAGAAGAGAGAGAGAGAGAGAGAGAGGGGGGGGGGGGGAGGAAAATCAATCCATTCTTTTACATTTGAATTTTTAATTGTTTTTTTTAGTGAAAAGCTTGTAAATAAGGATGAAATGATTAACAAAATTATGTAAGAATTCTTATGGGTCACTTCTAAGCAAATGTATCGTTAAATCGTAAATCATAAAATCACAAACTGTAATGCTTATAACTTTTACGTAAAGTTTTTAAGGACAACTTCTTGCTAGCCGTATGATTTACGAGAAAAGTATTTACGAACGATCGTATACTTTACGATACGTGTAGAATTACAATTCCCGTCTTAAGTTCTTACAAATCTTAGGGTCTGAGCACAGGATTGCCATAATACATTAAGACAGACTTAAGTTGTAGACGTAAGCAACGCACAAAAGCTTTGGCGTATAACTTTGGAATTAATGGACATCGCTATATCTCTTGATAGCGTGCTACCACGTGCTATATAATCAAAAGTAAGTAATCCAATCGTTTGTAAGCAGGTCAAAAATAATCTCGTTATTAAATAAATTATGTTAAATAATCTGTTAGTAACCTATTTCCGTAAAAAAATAAAATACTGAGAAAATTGAGACAGTTAAAATTCGACTGAGGCTGTTCTGTCATTGATGATAACATGTTATATGTACAATAAGAGTCCGATGTGCAAAGTTGCAAACTCAGTAATAAGCAAATGAATGAGTGAATGATATATGCGAAAAGATATGTAGAAAGTAAGATAAGAATATAAGTTTGCAGAGAATATAAAAATATATATTTTTTTAAATGAAAGTATTTCCGATAAGATAGATTAAGTTAATAAATGCAAATCAAATGAAGAGTGATGTAAGAAGATTGATATAATAATTTGTAATATTTTTTATACAGAGTGTTTTAACAGTGAAAGTCAATCGCTCGCCTTAATTGGCCTTCGTTTTTAAAACACCCTGGTGATTAAGAATCATCAATAATTTCAAAGAAAGTTGACTGGATTGATTAGATAGAAAATAAGACATTCTGTGTATTATAAGTACAACAATATGCGTACAAGTTAAATTTTTGGAAATACATATATAGTTTTTTTTTATAAGTTGCGAAATATTGCTACCATTTTTATATTAAAAGAATAAAAAGATCAAGTGTTAACAAAGTTTTACTCCTTATAAGAAACGAAGTTAGAAACCAATATATTGTCGATTTATTCTTTTTCGATTTTATATACATTTTTTAAACAATATTAAACAATAATTACTGACCAGTTTACATTTTTTTCTCCAATACGAGAAAATTACGTTTAATTCTATTCTAATTTCTATGAAATTTGTAAAAAATGAAAAAATTTTTAAATGAAAAGTATATACTTTTCTTAAATATTTTATGTACATTAAAAGTTGACAGTACATCAAAATTAAAAGAAAGTCTAATATATTATTTTATTAATTACAAACACACAATTTATCATAATTTAGAAAAAATTGTATACACGTGTATGTGCGCACGCGCGTGTGCGTTGTGTGTGAAAGGAAATGTTACTTAAAAATTTTCTTATCACATAATCATCGTTAGAAAATATCTCCTGCATTGACACCAATATCTCGCGACCTGGATCAAAGTTTCACACTTTTAACTTTCGTTTGGCATTGGAAAATGTATGCAAGATTTACATTATATCCTCTAACATCTCTCGTTACTTGTCTTTCGGAGACATTTTCATTCATGATAAAATACAAATAAGAAAAAAAATAGCAATTAATGACATAGGATCGTTTTCATAATTATATTAACGATCTTCAAATATCAAACAAAATTCAACACGTGCAGAAAATTATCAGTGATTTTTCGAGAATCAATACCTTCTGTGTTTCCGCTTATTCGACAAAATGACGCATGCAGTGAGTAAAACTTAACTAATTAAAAAGAATTAATTATTATTATTAAATTTTATAATTAGAATTAAATATGTAAATTGATAAAATATTGTATATATACAAATAATAAATATAAATATAAATAAATATTAGATGTACGAATATTATGTATAAAACATATATTTATAGTATATATGTACATATTTGTACTTTATATATATTAATAAATACAAAAATATATATATATATATAACATACAAATACTTTTAATTAAAGGCATCTAAGACTGTATGAATAGAATCTTTCGGTATGATCATAATAATATCATCCACTTTATGTGGATGATATTATTATGATGATACCGAAAGATTCTATTCATACAGTTTTAGATGCCTTTAACAACATACACAATAGATTACAGTTCACAATTGAAATGGAGAAAAACAGAACGTTAAATTATTTTAGATCTAACAATTTACAGAGAGAATGGTATATTTTAAAATTGGATTAGTATCATAAGGATTCGTTTTCTGGAAGATACTTATCCTTTTTATCAAATCATCCTTTGTCTCAAAAAATTGGAGTTATATATGTCCTAGTTGATAGAGCACTCTATTGCTTTCGAATTCTGAATTTCACGTTAAGAACATAGAATTCTGTATTACAACGTTATTAAACAACAATTATCCTATAGATTTGATATTTATTACAATAGAGAAAAGAATTGATTGGTTAGTGAAATTTAAATTACAATCTGCACACACGGAAAATCGAAATATTAATAATGTTCCTCTGAACAAAAAACCATTTGTATTACCGTACATTCCCAAAGTTACGAATTCTTTACTATAGTTTTTACTATAGGCATTAGAAATATTAATAAACTTAATAAAATCATTAAAGTCCACAAAAATAATACTGATAAGATACAAAAGAATAATGTTGTCTATAAAGTGAATTGTAATTGTTGCGATGCGTCATATGTAGGACAAACTAAAAGAAAGTTGATCACGAGGGTTAATGAACATAAACATGATATTAAAGGTAATCCAGCAAGGAATTCAGTATTGTCCGAACATTGTAATCAATTTGGTCAGTCTTTTAATTGGAATGATATGGATGTGGAATCACATTATAAAAAGAGACTGATTTCTGAGATGCTTTTTATCAAACAAAAAAATATGAACACACAAAAAGACATAGAGAAACTAGATAAAGCATACGATTATTTGTTAGGGTCATTACCATAAAGGTATAAAACACTTTTGACATCCGATCAGCTGATTTATGTTTCTTTATTCTCGTGACAACTGTCTTTAAGTACAAATCGAAGGAAGTAAATTTCACAGTATCTGACCTACCGTAAGTCTAATATATATTCAATTATAATTTATATAATTTAAGTTCCTGTTTTAATTTGATGATTATTTAGAATCATGATACGGATGATTTTTTTATCGACTGTGAGAGACAACATTCATGCGTTTTTCTTGTGACTTAATCGACAATAATTGACCATGGCTTCTTGTATTATTCTTATATTATTGTTGTAATTAATTTGTTAATGTTCATATAATTTGAGATTGAAAAAGATTTCGTATAAGTCGAAACGTTTCTCGTTATTATTCTTGATTTTTAATTTTAATGTTTAGAATTTAATAAATATTGTCAACTTTATTTCGGCTTGTTTTATACCGTTGATTTAATATCGTCATTTGTCGTTTTTAAATAAGTATCATTTAAAATGCATATATATATATATGTGTGTGTGTATGCTTATGTTTTATAGCAAATAAACAATTGTACTTTGCGTATGTTCCAAAAAATTATGCGCAAATGTGTAGTACCATTATTTTTTTTATTAATTTTTAATTACGTCAAACATATTTTGATAAATTTCAGCATGATAACTAGAAAACAACTGATTAATAGATAGTAATGTGTTTTCATCAACTGACAAAGTTAATAATATCTCCAAACGAAGTCAAAGTTCTGTCCGGAAGTCCGATGGCATGACCCGTCTTTACTTTCTTAAATATGCTGCGGATGTTATAAGTAATCTAGCGTGTGAAAGGTTAAAAAAATTTCTCACGCGTTTGTAAACGATACTGTTTTAAGTTTGTATAACTACTGAATCTCTCTGGCCATCAGCAGGTCAAGCTGAGTTAGCATACTCCTGTATATAAATTAAATCAAGGAGAGAAAGCTTTCATTTCTCATCCGATACCTGACAACCACATAACACCATGTGGTTCCCTGTCACCCTTCTCCTACTGGGTAAGAAAGACATCAACTTTACTGATAATAACATCCATGAAAATTTCAAACAGAATATCTTATACTTTAATGACATTTTCAAAAAAATGTTTTCGATATAAAATTAATTAACTTTTTGATTGATATAAAATCATCATAAAATCTGACTGTCATATTTTGCATACACTTGTTATTTAATTAATTTATATATTAAACTAAAATAAATCCTACTTTTTGAGACAATGTAATAAGAATACCATTTTAATAATTCAACAAGAAAATACAAATTTTAATTATTACATTTTGGTAATTTCCTTTTGACAGCCGGCGTGGCCGTGGTCACAAGCTCATCTGACCACAAGCATGCCTGGGAAATGGGAAACGAGTATGAGTACCTTGTACGCAGTCGGACAGTGGCAGGCCTTGACAAGTTGAAAGAACAATATACTGGAGTTCAAATAAAGGCTAAACTCATCATTCAAGTAAAATCGCCAGAGATATTGCAAATGAAGCTATCCAATCCACAGTATGCTCGTCTACACACCACATTAATGGATGGGCCGGATACCGAACTCCCTGACAATATGCTGGAGTATCTCGAGATTCCAATGTCAGGAAAGACATTTGCGGCCACATTGAAGCACGGAGTAATCCGGAATTTATTAATCGATCGTAACGTTCCTACTTGGGAATTGAATCTCCTCAAGAGTATCATGAGCCAGCTGCAGATTGACACGCAGGGCGAAAACGCGATAAGAGTTAAGAGCGCCCAAGTTCCAATGGACGAAAATTCTTCCGTTATGTTTACAGCCGTAGAAGATTCTGTCGGTGGAAAGTGCGAGGTTCTATACGAGATCTCACCGTTGACCAAAGATGCTTATCTAGACAAGGTACCTCTTCCAAATTTACGAGGTGAGGAAAATTATTACGAAGTTACGAAATTGAAGAATTACGAGAAATGCATGCAGCGACAAATTTATCATTACGGCCTAGAAGATCCATTGCACCATAATCACGGAAAACTCTATACACAGGATAAAATGTTTTCGGTGAGTTGAACTTTAATTGATAAACTGTTCTCATATTCCATACACTATTGCTAAAAAATTTGCAATAATTATAATTGTTAAAGATTATGAAAAAGAATACTTTAGAAAAACTTTTTTTTTTTTAAATATTGGTATTTTTTTATAGCCAATTATTCAAATTATTGCATCAATAGAATCAAATTATTACAATTCGTAAAAAAGAAAATGATAAAACTTCTTAACAAAACTTATTTGCGGTTATACGTGATTAATTACAGGAAATATCTACGACTCAAATGATTCTCTCGGGCAATTTGAGAGAATTCACTATTCAATCCGTCGTGACGAACAATCAAATATCCGTTAGACCTGGAAAAACTGATCCTTTCATTGGTAATGTCTACAGTATATTAAAATTAAATTTAGTCAAAATGAACAAACTATCCAGCCTTCTACTTGGTCCACACGAATTAATCAACCTCGAGTCTACTGGAAACCTAATATATACGTACAATAATCCATTGTCTGACTCCGAGAACCCAATGTTACCGAGCATCAGTATAAATTCTGAGCAAATGAGATCATCAGAGAGTTCTGAACGAAATATGGATGACCAGGACAGCTCCGCTAGTAGCTCCAGCAGGGAGGATCATACTTTGTATAAGAGTAATATTTCGCCTATGAAAATGGCAATGTACATGGTTCGAAGAAGTCCGCTGTTACCCGTCACAAACATGGATCGAATCGAGGATTTAATTCATGAAATGGCTGTTACAGTAAATTTATCTAATGACACGAAACTAAGTGTAACAGAAAGATATGTTTTCTTAAAGAACCTTGTTCGTACCATGAACCTTAAGCAGATTGGTGAATTAGAAGAACGTGTATCCCATAATCATAGAATTCAGGATAAAGATTATAAGAATATTGTCTGGAGCATCATCCGGGATGCTATTACACAAGCCGGAACGAGACCTGCTTTGTTGACTATTCAAAATTGGTTAAAGAATAAAAGAGTTGAAGGCTTAGAGGCGGCACGAATTGTATCTCAAATTCCTAAACATACTCAAGAACCAACAAAAGAATATGTCAGAACATTCTATGTAAGTATCTATTTATGCATAACAACATTAATAATCAATTATCTTTTAATTCTTTGCAGCATATATCTAAATGTAATTTTATATCAGTAATTAAAAATTATATGCATGCAACATTTAACACAAAAAAATCATCTATTGCTAAGAAAAATAATTACTCAATTTACTTTTTTTTTAAGTAACGATTATTTTTAACAAAAAATGTTTTCTTAATAAGAATCTTAAAATATATGCTTTATATTACAAATTTTTTAGAGAAAATTAATTTTAATATACTCAACACGCATAAGAATTTATTTCCTTTAAATATAAAAAATATAAAATGTATCAAAGAAGAGACTTCATATAACGATATAACATACAAATCAAATTTGTTTAATTTAATATTTTGTAAATTGATATTTAATAATTTTAGTATTAAAATAACACAATTTATGAATGAATAAACATAATGTAAACAGTAAAAATAATGCTTTTTAAATTTAAATTCTAAGATACATGAATAAAATGTGTTAATTTAACATATTACAAATGTTAATTTTAATGAAGAAACGTTTATAAATTGTATGAGAATTACGTTTTTTTATATTTTATGTAATATTTGTCTTAATCTTTAACGTATTCATCTTGTGTTAAATTAACATAAAAATTTGAACGAACCGGTTAGGACATGTAAAATGTATTAAATTTAACCCAAATATTCCAACCGTGTACAATATATATACTATATACAATATAATTAATTTTAATTTTTATCTGATTTTTGTGCAGGAAATATTGATGGATCCATCCATATTGAACCAGACACCCTTAAATATGATTGCACCATTAGCATTTGCCGAAATACTCCGTAAAAGTTATGTTGGTATTTCCCATCCGATGCGTTTGGAGCGTATGACTCTCAGGGATAACAATGATATAGTCAACCTTTATATTCCTTATTTAGCTAGAGAACTGAAACAAAGCTTGATAGAAAATAACAGTTTAAAAACTCAAACATATATTATGGCACTTGGTAGAATCGGCCATCCGATGATTATCTCGGTCTTGGAGCCGTACATAGAAAAAACGGAGCCAGTATCGCAGTTCCAACGTTGGCTCATGGTATCATCCCTGGCCACCTTAGGCATATCGAAACCGAAATTAGTTGGACCAATTCTCTATAAGCTCTACTTGAACGTACACGAAGATCATAAAATACGTTGTATGGCCATACATCGATATATCATGAGTAACCCACCTTTGATTAAGTTGCAACGTATAGCGAAATCTACTCATTACGAGTTGAACGAAAACTTAAACTCTATTATAAAAAGTACAATAAAGAGTCTCGCTATGACGAAACGACCGGAATTGCAAGATCTCGCTATTAAGGCGCGCAGTGTCAGGCATCTATTAAATCTGAGAGGGTTAGATAAATGGAATTCGATAGGTTACTACACGGACTTGGATGTCGGCGGTATTAGGGGACTTAATCTGCAAACTGTTATGGATGACGATAATATAATACCCGCATTTATGCGCATTGCCATGAATACTGCTTTCGATTTCTACGGCTTAGCTACCATGGAAGCTGAACATGCGGTATCGAGTGTCAGGCAGCTTTTGGATCACTTGAACATCGGGCTTATGCAGAATGAAGAAACAGATCAAGAAATGCACAAATCACGCATTGAGAAACTGATGAGAGTACTTCAGCTTAAGACCAAACAACTGGACAAGTTGGAAGGACATATCTATGTCAACACAATATTCGAAACTCTATTCTATCCCTATGACGGTCGAACTCTTCAAATGATTTTCTCTCGTAAGTATCTTGAATTTTACTATAAAATTATGTTATTTTTAAAGACATAAACTATTATTAAATTACAGAGTTAAAAGATTCCCTCAAGAGGGACCAACAATGGGATTCCGTTCTCTTCAATAATTACGAAACGACATTAAGCTTCCCAACCGAAAGTGGCCTGCCGTTCATGTATACTTTGGAATCACCAATGATTATAAAACAGAAAGCTGAAATGAAAAATGATGAACTTTCGCTTATGAAAAGAACTGGGATTATCAGTATGTATATGGCCAATAAGGTTCAGAAGCAATTCGGTTTTATAGTACCTTTCGAGCATCAACATTACATCGCTGGTATTGATGTCAATCGAATGATGCAATTACCATTACAATATGAGATCGAACTCGATTCAAGCCAAAAACTTAGTCTCGGTAGGTTGAAGATTCGTCCATTACCACAAACTCAAATGTCTCCGATGACTGTGTTGCATCTCAGCACCATTCCCTTTACCACGCGACAAAATCATCTTGATCTTCAACCTCTATCTCTTAGTAAAAACACGCATCTTGTACTAATAGACAAAAAACATAAAACTCTATTAGACAAAGATTTAATTTCTATCCGATTAGAATCTGATGACAAAGAAATAGAAGAATTTTCTAAAAAAAGTGATATTACACAAATGATATTAGAGCTCTTGATTAAATTACGAGCGATACCTAGCGGCCAATATCGAAAGTTGGATATTTTAATGAATCCTGAACAGTTAGTAAAGAGTATATTACAGGTAAACATTATTCATGAGAAAATGGCAATTGATACTAAATTACTATTACCAGAAGAACTATCATTAGCAGATTCACCCATTATGATTCCTTTAAAAAATGTGAAGCCAAATAGTGAAAAGAGACGAAAGGAGATTATGACAGGTCTCAGCAGAGGCCTTAACTCGGGTGATGTTCATGTATTGGATATAAATTTGAACTTACCGGCGCTACAAAAACATCAAATTATCACCATTGGTTGGGTGGATAGCAACGTAGACAAGAAGTCTAAAGCTTATATGTATTGGAATTCTCAAATGTCGATGAAGGAAAAACCGTTATCTGAAATTTGCTACATGCATGAAATGCAAGATTCAACGGATACTCCTCTGAATTTCGAACGCATGATGAAACACGCGCCGAAAAGTAAGATCAGAGCTGAATTGCAATATGGAGAGAATTGCCATACAGGAAACAAACTTGTTATTGACGCGAGCATGTCAAGAAGTGACCTAATGAAGGATTTATTGGAGAATTCCAGAATAGTCAAGCAATGTTGGGAAGACATTCGAAAGGGGCGTAATGTACTGCAGGCTTGCCAGCAGGCCATTGAACTTGCTCGAGTGAAGAATCAGGCGGACATTTCAGTTCGGGGTTCAATAATTGATTATATCGAAAAAATGATTGAAAAGATTGCTGACTTTTTATCACATCTCTTGCCACACTCACGTATAAAACTAACAAACCCGAAAGATTCTGATACAAGCACTTACGATATAAAAATGACTATGTCACCTCTGGATGTAGTCCCGCCGGCTTACTTAGACTCTCCGCGAGATGTTACTGTACCCAACATGGAGCACACAAATTTCGAAATGCAAGAGTTATTAAAGGAAAATGCCATGCTTCGTAAAGAAGAAAAAAGAGGTAAGTCCTAAATTTTAAAAAGGATAAAATTACTGTTTTTTAAATATTGAAAGTTAAAATAACTTAATATATTAAATCATATAATATATTGTGTTAATTAAGACACAAGTTAATATTTGAATAATAACGCAAAAGTTAATAATTTGACACTCTATTAACTTTGTAACATTTCTCAACTATTCTATAATATATATATGAGCGCGTATATTTATAGTTTTTATTTATTCTAAACATATAAAAATTACTCATTGTTCTATTATTGTTATCACGGTGCATTTATATTTTTTATATTTATATTTATATTTATATTTTTTCACAGCTTCGTGTACCATTGATAAAAACATGATCCTTACTTTCGATAAGCTGCTTTATCCTGTGACATTGGGAACTTGTAAGCACGTGCTGATGACCACTTATCCGCAAAGGGATCCTGATATTCCAAGAAATAAGACAAATATGGGTGTACTTGCCTTACTTCGTGATGTCGATGGTACCAAATACGTCGATCTATTGATGGAGATGCATGAAATTAGTTTGAAGAAAATAAACGATGATTTTAACGTTGAAATCGACGGGAATGAAATCACTCTGCTGCTGGATAAAAGCTATCGACTACGCGAAAATGACGAGACAATTCTCGAAATTATCAAGCTACCCGACCATTCGGTCGAAATATTTTCGGACAAATCTGATATCAGAATACTCTATGACGGAGAACGTATTCAACTATTGGTGAGTAAAAATGTAAAGCAAACTGGTAATAATAAGTCAACCGCAGTAGAAAACATAACATTAATCAAAATAAATTTGTCATCAGGTAACCGATAAATATCGCAATGCCCTACGCGGTCTCTGTGGCAACTATGACTCCAATCCCAGCACCGATTTCCTCACTCCTCAGAATTGCCTCGTAAAGATACCCGAAGTATTCACCGCTACATACGCCTTGACTGAGGAAGATTGCCCTCAAAAATACATTATGGATAACAAACAAAAAGCCGAACTTATGCAGTGCCAACAATTGCCAATGCAGCAATGGAACAACGTTATTAACGATGTAGAAGCAGGAAGAATACCGTCATATGAACATTGGGGCTATCATCACAATAATCTCAAGAGAAAACTAAACCTCAATAATGATAAACCATATAGTCTCGAGAAACATGATTTACCAGCCGAGAACAACATTGTCTATCGCACAAAAGTTATTTTAGAAGACGAAAATATCTGTTTCACAAGCAAACCTATACCAGTATGTCTTGAGGGTACCAGGCCTATGGAAAGAACGACGAGGAAGTATGACCTCTATTGTCAACCAAGGAACGAGGAATCTCTAATAATGAAACGCAGGATCGAGCAAGGCGCTAATCCAGATTTTACCCGAAAACCTATTACTAGGTTACACACTTTCCAAGTTCCTGTCGTTTGCAACGCGTAATTTGATAATATCGAAATGATATGACGACCATGTATACTTAATTAAAACGACCTCTTTTTTAGTTTTTCTTTTTTTAGAAAGCAGTAAATATATTGTTTAATAATGCAGAAACGTAAGCAATAATAAAGTTGCTTTTCAACATAATTATTTGTGGTATGTTTTTTTTCTGCATATTCAAGCTGTTCGAAACCAACATAATTCATTTAACATTAGCATTAAATAAGATCATTACATCCTTCTGTCCTTTATTCTAATAATTATCTTCAAAATAGTAATATGTTAAACCTTATTTTTTTGGCTGAACATTATGTTCACGCTAAAAAATGAGCTGTTAAATTTTTGCACACATTTTTTTTAATTTTCAATAGCAGTAACTCCATGAAAAAACATATTGTACTGCGGTGAATTAAATCTCAAAGTAAAGCTTGGATATTCCCATTAATAACCAAGAAAAGCAAAAGTGAGTTACAGAAAATGCTTTACAAAATGACAGATACAATAATACAATAAATTAAAACAATTGAAGGGTTAAGAGACAGTTTTATAATAAAGAACGTTTAATTTAAAAACATAATAAAAATAATTACAAACGTTTTGACGCCGATCGGGTCATTCTCAATGTTAGAGAAAATACATAATAATAATAATCATGTCAGCTTTATTAAGAACAATTCTAATTTTTTATAACAATCACCATGCCCACGTAAGGCCTCAATAGATCTACGGAATTCATCCGAAATATCGAGCTTGAGCGTCAAACAACAAGATAATCCTATCTACGCGTTTAGCAGACCATTCTAAACAAGATAGTCCGCTGCCGACGTAGAATTAGATCTACGTAGAATTAGGTCTACGTCGGCAGCGGACCATCTTGTTTAGAATGGTTTGCTAAACGCGTAGATAGGATTATCTTGTTGTTTGACGCTCAAGCTCGATATTTCGGATGAATTCCGTAGATCTATTGAGGCCTTACGTGGGCATAATGATTATTATATGAAATTAGAATTAATAAAGCTGACATAATTATTATTATAATGTATTTTCTGTAACATTGATTGATGAGAATGATCCAATCGGCGTCGAAACATTTGTAATTATTTTTATTATGTTTTTAAATTAAACATTCTTTATTATATAATTGACTCTTAGCCCTTCAATTGTTCTAATTTGTTTTATTCTTACAGAGCCTATTATTATTTATTATTAATAATACAATAGTTTAAAGAAAAAATGTTTTCGTGTTTCTCAATATATGTCTTCAACAACTTCTATATTTGGTAAAACATATTCTCTGATTCAATTTGAATTTCCTTGATTATTAAGTGGAGTATTCAAGCTTTGACTTGAGCTTTGATTTATTCCAATACAATAATTTTTCGATAAATTATTATTATTGAAAGATATTAAAAATGTATGCTAAATTTTAGAGATCCCGCAGATGCAAGATTAAGTTGATAATGTGATAAAGACTGCGCTCCATTGCGTACATATGGTAATGTGCATGAGGTATTATTTTATCCTTATTGCTCGCAGAGTGTTAAACAAAGATAAAATGAGACATCATGTCCATTATGCGTGCACCGGAACGTATGTCTGTGTAATAAATAAGTTTTGAGATTATCGACTTTACCTCTATTCCAATTGTTTATTATTTCAATCCAGATTTTTCGCATTCTGACTTTATGTCAAAAGATTCTCGAACGTTCCAGAAAACCTAGAGTACAAAACCTCGTCCTCTCGCATCTCCAGAGTCAGTCGCTAATAGTAGTACCATAGTCACGTATCGCAGCAATCGCAGTTAATAAAGTTGCTTGCTTCTCGCGGTGTTCGGTCTACACATGAGTTTGCAGTGCATTTGCGTTCATAATGTAATGTCCGTATCAGATTAAACATTGTGATTAAAATTGAGATCAAATTTGATCAATTAAAGTAAAGTTCACTAAACTGATATAAACTAAACTGATACTAAGCTTTCTTTTTTCCGTTTAATCAAATTCAATCTCAATCTTAATTTCAATATCTTGTCTAATAAATAGGCAGGAATAAATGAAGCTGTGTTTGTAATGTAAATGTTCATTTATTTTATATTGACTTTGTGTAATAAAAACTACAGTTTATCATGATTCGACGAGTTGCTATCTCGAAGATTGATTCGCTCTTCTCGCTGTATTCTCAACGCACTGTGAATACAAACGCTATATACGCACTTAATTAAACAGATTATAAACGGAAATTCTATATGTTATACGGAATATTACTGTGATATGAGTCAACGATAAAGAGAAAAATTCCCGTTAACAAATAAATGAGTTATGCATTTGCACGGAAAGAATGATTTCGTTGAAGTGTTAAAAAATTTAGGCACAGTTCCGAAAATAACTTTGTTGGATCATTTATATATGAATGATAATAATTAGAAAGCGATCATAATATTAAAGGCTCCTTATAATAAAATAATGTAAACAAATTTAAAAACGGCTATTAGGAGTCAACGCAGTAAGAAGTGTGCAATAAATATATACTTTCGATAATATAAAAATATGTATAATACTAAATCTTGAAGTAGTCAAATAAAATTCTGAACGCATAGCCGAAACGTCCAGAATTTTATTTGACTACTTCAAGATTTAGTATTAAACATATTTTTATATTATCGAAAGTATATATTTATTGCGCACTTCTTACTACGTTGACTCCTAATAGCCGTTTTTAAATTTGTTTACATTATAATAATTAGAATGACAGTTATACATGTTAATTTTATTATATATAATTCCGCTGCATGATATTTACAGTGTCTACGAAAAGAACAGCCACGATCCACACATTTTATGATCAGATTAGAGGACTCCAGCGCGTTATGTACTTCCGCATGCATTATTGTCATATCCTTGAGCAGCTTACAACAATGCAGGTGAAATTAAATATAACGCGCTCGAATCCTCCAATCTGATCGAAAAATGTGCGAATTGTGATCGTTCTTTCTGTGGACGCGATATAAAATCTTTATATAATATGTTTATTTACAATTGTTAATAATGAATGACTTTTTAATAATTCTTTCGCTTTGAAAAGCTGACATACAGAGAAATAAAACTCTTTTGTTTTTAATAATGGATTGTGCTTTATTAAAAAATATGACTAATGATCTAAAGTAATTTAGTAATTAACACAACTCAAAGCAGCATTACGTAAATATTTTTTAAAACGTTAGAAACATTGAACACTCTAAAGGTTATCAATGATATCATAAACCTATGTACAAACTTACTTGCTATTTGCCGATTAAATAACGGGAATATGATGCATATTCTGAAAACACTTCTGCGAAAGATAATAATTTTTATGTAAATATTATGATTATAAGAAATTAATATAAGATGTCGATAAAACATATATACTCTCTATTAGAAAAAATTTTTCAATTTCAAAGAAGTTTCTTTGCTCATTTAAAAAAATTATTTTTTTGGATCAATGAAAGTTTTCTTCGAAATTAAGGTTTTTTCTCAGAGTATATGAAAAATCGCTTAAATTTTGAGATTAAGTATAATTTGTAATACAAACAAGCTTTTTAATTTTTCATAAACGTTGTATAAAAAATTATATAAATTTGAGGATTCTCTAATATATTATTAACATTATTCGATTAATTCTTTTTTAATTAGGCATATATTGGATATTTGATACATTTTTATCATAATAAATTGAATCTAAGAGAAACTACATTGTAAGTTATTAATAAATGTGTGAACACACACATTTGTGTGTCGAATAATTGATAAAATGAATCATATTTTTGGGCGAAGTCATTGTTCTGTTTAGAAGTATAATATATGTGACGATCTTGTCTTCAATTTTCCAAGTATGTCACAATTATGGTGAATTACTCTCAATCACACTTGATTATACTACCAGGATGTATCAAGTGCAATTTTAGTATGTACAAGGTTAAAATAATTTATCACGTGCGTCGGAACAATATAGTTTTAAGTTCAAGTTGAAATCTAAATCAATGAGCATCTCGCCATGCGAATCAAGCTGACATGGCACATGCAGCATATATAAATCTGATTGAGAAGAGGGAGCTTTCATTTTGCATTTGATACTATTCGTATCATATCATGTGGTTACATTTGGCTGTTTTCTTAATTAGTAAGTAGATGTCAATCTTACAAATATTAATTTATAAACGTTAGTTTTCATCTTTTAATGCGTATTTAAAAAAGTTTTCTGTACATTATGTAGTAAATCGATTATTGTAAAGACTGAAATTATATATTATTTTTCTTTTTTTAATGCTGTGATTTATCCAAAATTGTGAAAGTTTAGCCTCTCTATAATAATTTCATAAATAAAGGACAATGGAAGTTGGCACAGAAATCAATGCGCAAATAAAATAATTATTTATACTTAACGACATAAACATTAAATTGCAACAATTTATTTAACATTAAACGCTTTTACATTGTGTGACTCTGTATTTAAACCATCTACGTAATTTAACATTAAATATTGTAATTAGGTACACATGTTTGCATCTTTCTATGATGTTAATTCATCGTATTGTCATGATAAATTAACATCACCAAAAGATGCGAACATGTGTAATTGCGGTATTGATTGCTAAATTTTGTTTATGATGGCTCAAAATATAGAACCAAAATGTACGTTTGATGTTAAATTAATTATTGTGACTTAATATTCATGTCGTTAAGTAAATAATTATTTTATTGAATTTGCGCCGTTGATTTCTGCGCCGAGTCCTATTGTCCCATTCTACTTGTTTATTCATGTTATTAAATTGACGGAAATCCATTTATTATTGTTAATTTGAAAATTATTAATATATAATTTGTACATTAAGGTAAAAACGTATAAAAATACAAATTTTTATAGAAATATCAAGATTATGTGTAGAGAGTAACTAATAAAATAATTAATTAAAAGTTAAGTAATTAAATTAAGAAGTTAATAATTTTTAACTTTATCTTTATCTCTCTCTCTCTCTCTCTCTCTCTTAATTAATTTGAAACAAGTTAACTTTTAACTGTAACTTAACTTTTATTTTTAACTAGTTATTTAAGTTAAGCTTAATTTTATAAGCTATTAACTTTAACTTAACTTATCATAAAAGAAAATTAAAAGAAAAAATTTACGTATTTAATCTTTCAAAAAAATACTATTAGAAAAGTGAGCAATACTTAGAAAAATTATGTAAATTTATTTTTTCATTTGAGCTATACATATTTTATTTGTTAAATTTTAAAACATGCTAGAAAAAGTAATGACGCTTTCTTTCGATAGTTGGAACGGCCATAGCCGATCTCAATCATGCATGGGAAACCGAAAACGAATATCATTATCTTATAAAAAGTTGGACACTGACGGGCTTAGATGAGCTAGATAAGCAATATTCCGGAATTTTTATAAGATGTAATCTCATCATTCAAGTGAAATCATCGGATACGCTACAGGCTGTGGTTTCCGAGACGCAATATGCTTCCGTGAATGAAAAATTGCCAAATATTTCGGATGAAATCTCCGATTTAGAGTATCATGAGCTTTCTTTATCGGGAAAGCCCTTCGAAATCAAGCTTAAACAAGGAGTGATTCGAGATATGTTAGTCGATCAAGATGTGCCTACTTGGGAGGTGAATTTGTTAAAAAGTATTGTGAGTCAGTTGCAGATTGACACAGAGGGTGAGAATGCAATAGCAAGTAGGAGCACTATGATGCCCACCGAAAACCAGTCTGTCAATGAATTCAAAGTCACGGAGGACTCCGTTGGCGGTAAATGCGAGGTGCTTTACAGTATTTCACCAGTGAAAAGTGGAGATAATTTGTCGAAACCTTTGCCACATCTCCACAAAGATGGTCAACATCTCGCTATTACGAAAACGAAGAATTTCTCCAGATGCGAACAGCGAGTGGGTTACCATTCTGGTATTGTCGGTAAAATAACTTCGAAACCAGGATTTAGCGATGGATTTCTTTCGGTAAGTTAGATTTTGATAACAACTTATCAACATTTTGAGTGGATAAAATATTATATGATTGAGGACTATATCAAGAAAGATTTAGCGAAACTCTGTTGCTTTAAATGTTTCTACACTTCTATACGTATGATAACTCAATAAATAAAAATGCACACAATATTGACAAGGTAAAATTTATTTTTGCGATTGTATATTTGTTACAGAGATCATCATCGAATTATATTATCATCTTCGGTAATCTGAAACGTTTTACTATTCAATCTTCTGTGATGACAAGCCAGATATCAATCAACTCTGATTATAAACTTAATACATCTACATTTCGTAATACATACTCTGGCACTGTTTACAGTGGTATGAATTTAACTTTGGATAGAATGAATCAGATCACCAACCGTATGCCTGCATCTAATAATCTCGTGTCAACTGGAAATTTAGTATACACTTACAACAATCCATTTTTTAACCAATTCAAATCACATTGTCCAAATGATAGTGAAAGTTCCTTGGTGACATCGTCCAAGAATCATAATTCTAGCAATTCTAGCGAGGAAAACCGTAGCGACAATGACAATTTTAAAAGTAAGGAACACGATTACTTTCAACCTAAACCGAAATTGAATGACGCTCCGGAGAGTCTACTATTATCCTATTTCATTGGATACAAAGACATTTTAAAATCCGAAGAGAATTATACTCAGTTAGCAACTAACTTAATCATTCAAACATACCAAGATGAACATATGTATTATGCTTCCCTTAGTCCTACTTTAGAGCGATTCACAATTCTGGTGAAATTAATTCGCACCATGAATGTTGAACAGATCGCTGAGGTAGAGAACTTACTGCCTGAAATATATCCAAGCGATTCGTTTGATGTAAAGGATGAAAGATGGTACAACCAAACCAAATGTAGGTATATCCTGTACAACGCCGTTGCAAATGCCGGAACTGGTCCCGCTCTCATTACCATAAAAAATTTGATAAAGACTGGGAAACTCGAGGGCATACAAGCGGCGCAGGTTATTTCGAAAATTCCTAAATCCGTGCTCGTACCTACAGTGGAATATGTAGCAGCATTTTTCGTAAGTATTCATTATACCTATATATTAATATAATATATAGTACAGGGTAACTTTTTGGTAATTACGCTGCGTACGAGAATGTACGTCGTAGAAGTTAGAAAAATACGAGTATAAAAGACATGAGAAAATAATTTGCACGCAACCATTCTATGATAATACGCCTCAATGTTATATTTGAACTATAATTTCAGTTCTTTTTAATATTACTTGAAATAACAGATCAGTTAAATCAATTTGTCACTGTAAGTGGTGCAACCAAGCACGAAATAAACGATTTTGCTGAAGTAAAAAATTTATTAAGTATAAATCTAAAAATAATTTTGTTAGATCATCAAAATAATTAAGAATTGAAGCATGATGAGTAATGCTGCAAAAAGTTTTGACATTCTAGCAATATAAATGTTTTACATAGTTATTTTGACACATACTAAGAAAATTATTTTCAGATCTGTGTTAAGTAAATATGTATTTAGATAATTCATCAAAATCGTTCTTTTTCATGTATATTACACGTAAAATGCTTATTATAGAGAGTGTGAAAAACTTACAGTTGTTATCTCGTGACACGTAAGTGTAGAACAGACTTATCAGTCAAAATTTAAATTAGCTGAAGTGATAGACGTTGACGTTTTTATCTCTCTATTACTTTATTGAATGAGACAAATAAAAATAAAAAAGATGAACGCTGGAGAGCTCACTAAGAAAAACTCTAGAATGTATTTTTTTCATTTTGTTTTCTTTCTTTCTCAATGAGAAAGCATTTAGCTCGTGAGCTAAAGACCGTTACACGTAAAAAGTTAGTCGTGATAGTAAAATCATAAGTATCAATCGTGATCAAGCATTTTAAAACGTAAGATCATACTTTTCGCTTTATGATTACGACTAACATTTTTTACGCGTAATGTGTCATAAACTTGTATTCGGGCACTGAATATTAATGATCGAAGAGAGACATTATTATATATCATGAGCGCGAGAGTCTAAATCTAATACCTTCTAACATCAGTTCAGATTTCATTTGATTAATCTCGTATCAGTATATTTTTCAAAAAAATTACATTAACAATTTACAATATTGTGATGATATAGCTTCACTGTACTGAAGACTCACTGTTTGGAAGTATTATCAAATTTGATGGTTAATATCAAAATACTGATGCATTTGCGTAAAGACGTGCAAGTCATTAATAAACTCCGAGCACTAAGCCAATATTGTTAATTCTTTCCTTGTTAATAAACTTCGTGTAATCTCGTTCCTATTATTACAAATCCGATCACGGAAAAAGACGAAACGAGAAAAAAAGCCTATATAAATGCTCAATGATAAGTGTTTTGATAGGTCAGATGTATTATAGAAATAGAAGGATAATAGGATGGAAGCAAAATACAAACGCTTAGATCTTGTATTCTTTGTTCAGTTAGCATAATATCTTTTACATATACCACATTTGTTTAAAATATTTTTTTAATATAAAAAATTAATATTTCATATTTTTAATCAATTAATTTTTTATAATAGACAGTATAAAGTCTTAGAAAGATACAGTCAATTATTATAGTAAATAACACTTGATAAATTAAATGTTCGATATATGCGGCATACATACCGGAATTATCTATGTATCATATTAAAACAAATAATTTTAAAAGAGCTTTAATCTTTAAAATATCTCATTGTTTACGTAAATATTTGTACTATCACGAATTATATGTGAAAATTAATTTTAATGATCGATTTCTTTGTAGGAACTGATTACAGATGAAAAAGTGACAAAACAGAGATTTTTGAATACAACTGCACCTTTGTCTTTCGCCGAATTGGCCTATTACACTTATAGCTACAAATCATCTGTTTACTTTCCTATCTATAATTTTGATTGTATGATGTATGAAGATCAGCTTCTTGAAACTTATATTCCGTATATGGCTACCCAATTAAGAAAAGCCGTTGAAGAAGGCGATAGTCGTCGAATTCAAACATACATTATGGCACTGGGTAAATTCGGTCATGGGAAAATACTTTCTGTTTTTGAACCATACCTGGAAGGCACAATTCCGGTATCGAAATTCCAACGTTTGATGATGATCGTTTCATTAAGCAGACTAACCGAAGTCTATCCGAGAGTCGTAAGATCTGTCGCCTACAAGATTTACATAAATAAAAAGGAGGCCTACGAATTACGTTGTGCAGCTGTCCATATCATAATGAAAACCAATCCACCCCTGATCATGTTGGAGCGAATAGCGGATTTTACTAATCAGGATGAGGATCGACACGTAAATTCTGTTGTCAAGACCAGTATAGAGTCCCTCGTTAATTTAAAACAACCAGAATGGAAAAATCTCGCTGACAAGGCGCGTATCGCTAGCAAGCTATTGAATCCTAACATTAACAATAGAAATTCTCAGAGCATTTTTATGGAGAACAAAATTCCCTCCTTAAACCTTATTCAAACAAGCATTTTACAGACAATTGGTAGCAACGACAATAATGTACCTAAAGGTACATATATTGATATACTCCAATCTTATGGTGGATTAAATCTACCCCTGGCAAAAATAATGTATGCAGTAACAAGCATGGAAGAGTTTAAACAGATGTGGATAGATATATGGCTAGGTAAACGGAAATTGATGTCTCAAAATAAAACTGAATGGATGATTGAAAGGATAATTGAAAAGCTTAGTATTGAGCCCGAAAATGCGGAACAGCTTGAAGGAAATATTTTTGTGGACTCTGCATTTTCTTTAGAATTCTTTCCCTTTGATAATCATACGTTTGAAGAATTTACTAATAGTAAGTATTCTGATTTGAGAAATTGTGGATTTCAATTATGTAAATCATTATTATTTTTGTGTGTATTACAGTGGCTTATGAGTTCTATGAATCGGTAATACAGAGAGAATCATTTGTTTTTCAATCCGAAACCGTAAGTAATCTACACAACTACGACATAACGTTGGGATTCCCTACTGAAACCGGTCTGCCGTTCATTTATAATTTAGCAATACCGAAATTAACGATTATTAGCAAGGAAGGATCTCTTAAAATCATAAAATCAGAAACTGATAAATTTGTCCAACTGGCAGTAGAAGGTCATGTAACATCAAGTGAAAAGATTCTAAGTAGAATTGGTTTCATAACACCTTTCGAGCACAGACACTATATTGCTGGTGTTGATATCTACACGCAGCTTATCATACCAGGTAGTTTAAGTGTCAAAGCGAGAGGTTTGAGAAAATTCGAACTAAAGATTGGGAACAAGAAACATCACGACCTAAATTGTCTGACAATTGAGCACAGTGTTGTTCCTTATACCTCAAGACAAGATATTTTGAGCTTTGAACCTCTAGAGCGCAATAATGACACACGTCTGGTGCACACGAAGGAACCGAGTGAAGCTACGTTTTCGCTAGGTGATCTAACACTCTCTGCAAATGGTGATGTTATTGACAAAGATACTATGTCGCAAAATAGGGGACTTGATGGCTTTATTAAGTTTTGTACTATATTTTATTCAAATCTCGGTGCCAGTTACAGGAAATTTAATGCAATTTTACATCTCAGGGAAATACAAGTAAATCTAACTTACCATCAAAGCGAAAGGCCCACCAATAGAAGTTCGGAAGCAACAATTCCTACAATAATTGACAAACAGCCAGACAGTATGGCAAGAGAATCACAATTCCTAGAGGAAGTCGTCAAAGATAATAGATCTGTCAATTCTTCCAAATCTATCGCTGATGTGTTTGATATAAGTGTTTCAGCTAACAATAATCGTTATGTTTTTACCTACGCTTTGGGAGACAACCACGATAATCTGCAGACCCTTTTGTACGGGAATGTCCAATTGCCAGATGGAAAAGTTCCCTGGGAGTTTTGCAGTGTTAATAGCATTGTTGGATTATCATGGTACAATCATCTAGATGTCGAGAAAGCAATCGAAAAGGTTCCGAATTATGAATTTAACTCTGAGATGCGATTTGGAAGTTGTGCAAATGGAGAGATGATTAGACTCAAAGGAAATTTGAGTCGCACTAATGATGTCATGAAGAAGATAATGAATTCCGAAGTAGTCGAAAAGTGTCAACAACAGATAAAACAAGGCAATATTTGGTTACCAACTTGTCAAAAGGCCAACAAATTAATTCAATATAGGGATCTTCTAATGATGTCAATGGAAACGAATTCGTTTAATTTATATTTGTCTGCCGTCAGAATGATCATGGGAATAAAAATGAACTTATCCAATAAAGAAATGTCAATGGCAAACTTGGAAGAAAGCACTAATAAGAACATGGATGTAGAGATAAAAATGCCGCTTGATGACAGTGATGCAAACATTTCTTTGCGCACTTCACATGCGGCCGTTACGTTCTCTCTGTCGAACTTTATTTCAGATCCCAATGTTATGTTTCCCAATTTAACAATGAACAAGCTTTTCGAGAATGATTTGGAAGGAGGTGAGTTATAAAATTTTGTAAAAATAGTACCTATTCTATTTATAAAAGAGAATTTACTGGTAAAAAAGATTTATCATAAATGATGTATTCAAAAGTATGCATGAGATCAATACAATTAGACAAATTATAAAAAGAGATCTTAAGAAGATCTTAAATCTTTTTTTTTTTAAATCTATTTAAAACTTTTTTATGAAAAATGGGTATGTTACACGTTACACTGAGCAACGAAACTTGACGTTTTCTTTTATCGCAAATATAAATGGGTATTTCTGATATATTTTGTTTACTAAACACAAATCCGTTACTTAAATTTGATTATATTAGTACGTATTTAAAAGAATGACGCCAAAGATGCAAAATACGAAGATTTTGATCATTTTCTTGACATGCACAGGTAGCAAATTTTATTTTTAAATTTTATTTATTACACGAAAAAATATCAACTTTTAGCTTTAAAATGCATTTTGGTTTATTTCAATATCATTTTTCATTTTCTAAATATATTTTAATTTGAAAAATATAATTTTTGCATTATTACATGAGAATCATCTTCCCTTTATATTCTCTTTTTTCTCTTTTCTTATCTTATAATAAACCTCTTTTCTTTATGTCTTTATGCATGTACTTGGCACATCACATCATTTTATTAAATTTGAAAATTTTTTCCAGATATGTGCGTTCTCGACAAAACCCAAGTTGTAACTTTTGACAATAAGATCTATCCCTTGACATTGGGAAAATGTTGGCACGTAATGATGGCGCCTAGTCCACAGCGGGATACCAATAATCCCGACAAAATTTTAAGTGCCTTTGAAAATGTGAGAGCAATTGTCATGGCCCGAGAAATGGATGACGGGAGCAAACAGGTATGGATTATCTTGGGTGATGAAGAAATTCGTCTGCGAAAATTGAACGATCGTCTTCAAGTTAATATCGTTAATGACGAAGAAGCTTATTTCTCGGATCATAAAAGCTACGTACAACCTACCTACGAAATTTATCACAAGGATGAAATGATCATAGTGCATTCGCAAAACTATACAATCCACATCGTGTATGATGGAGAACGTATCCTACTTTATGTAAGTAACAAAATAAAGTAAGTTGTGTATAAAATAGAAACTACATAAACTGGACTACTTATATGATTACGTAAAATATGATTAAGAGATACGTTAAATTTAAATCAAGCACGTCTGTTATTAGGTATCCGATCAATATCGCAATATTGTACGCGGTCTCTGCGGTAATTACGACACACAATTCAACAACGATTTCATCGCTCCTAAGAATTGCATCTTGACGGAGCCCGAAGAATTCGCCGCTACATATGCCCTGACTTATCAGGAGGACTGTGAAGGACCCGCTTTGCAGAACAAAGTAAAAGCTGAACAATCCACATGCACTTCAAGATCGTATATTCCGAGTGATGTCATCAGTGAAAGAGAAGCGGGAAGAGTTCGCAGGAACGGAAGATGGGGCTATTGTATGTACAAAAACACGTTCAGGAGAAGCCACTAATAATTGGATAATTTTTTTTATCAAAGCTTTTATGAGTTATAAGCTTGCGAAATAAAAAGAGAGAAGTCAAAAATATCGGGCATAATAAAAACGTTTTCTTCCAATTCATGCACAGAATCAAGCAAAGATTTAACCGAGGAACCTGTATCCAAGTCTCGAAAAACTTTCAATGTTATTATATTATTAACTTCTTTATTGGGTGAATACAAAAGCACGTGCTTGATTTAAAAAAAATTTTTATACATATAAGTTTAGAATGTAATATTTTACTCAAATTGACAATTCAGTACAGTATACTATTCGATAGTTCAAAATTTTGTAAATTTGTGATATGTGACAGGCCCACCAAGCAAAAAGAAATTTTCATTTTGTTTATCTCGTAGTTTTCTATACGTAAAAGTTATCAAATTTACAGAAATTAAAAAAATTGTTTCTTAAAATAGAGTCCTTAAACTTTAACATCCCTTATTAAATTTAAATTTCGTTTATTTTTAAGAAAATTGGAGCTATTTTCATTTTGAATAATAAATCAAGTACGAATATTTGCATTCACTCAATATTTTATATTCACCTTTCTTTTTTATAAATATGTAATATTTTGTTAATTATAATCACATATAAAAAAAATAATAAAGCTATATTTTTAATAACTTATGTTTCAGTAATTTTTTTCTTTTTATAGAGATATAATTAGATACAAATCAGATAGATTAAAAATTAAAAAAATGAAATATATTTATGTGTTTAAATTTCAATTATAAAATCGAAATTAGGTTAGTAGTAACTATTTTTATTTAAACTTGGATTTTTTCTTGTTTAATGTAAATATAAAATTTTAAGAGATAAGATTGGGTATTGGACAGTTTAAGTGAAACTGATTTAATTGACAGTCCATTTTGTTAATAGCTTCGTATAATTTATTTGGTTTGTATACCATATCTAAAATTGTGATGTAAGCACTTTCCGAAACATTTATTCTTTTGTTGATAGTCTCGTTTATTCTTTATCAATAGTTTCTATTTTCTTTTTGAAACACTGATCTACAGAGGATAAAAAGTCAATGTTTAGTAAAATTGTGAAGCGGTGGTATATGCATTTTTTTGCTCGTATAAAATTGTGAGATTATTTTATTACAAAAATCATATAATTGATTTAATATTGATCAACTATACTTTTGAAAATGTACATGTTTCCAGAACTCAAACTTTTCTCAAACTCACGTATTTCTTTCTCAAATTTCTCAAAATAAGTGCCCCGAAAAATTAAGGAAGGCTTACGATCGATCTGACAATCTTTGCAAATAGTTTTTGATTTCACAATATATTGATTGTATTCGAGACACTTTAACATTTCTTCGATGTATATAAAGCGAGTTTTATCGATTCTTGTGATGACACCTGGACGGCACTTTGTTCTCAGCAGGTGATGCAGCTTTAAGAACATAATGCATAAGCAATGTTTGATATTAAATTATATAGTAAACAGCAAAGTGTACATATCTGAATATACAAAGAGCTAATGTTGCTTACAATTAATTCTATTATTTTACCTTAAACAAAATAAATAAAATCCAGAGCATTGCTTCTTGTTCAGTCAAACTTTCCGCATGCTCGAGCTCTCGTTGTCTAAATCTACAAAATGAAGTAAGTCGCTAAATTTAACTACGTACAACAAGACATGTGAGAGAATATACCTTTTCATGTTCTCTAAAGTTTCATTGTTCTTTATATAAACATTTTTCAACCATCGTTGCAACTGTAAAAAGTTAATTTTTGTTTTTCTAGACCAATAGCCTCTCCAAACAGCTTGGATTTTCGTTGCCATGTTATTGTAATGATCTTGCCGCATCTGGTGAACACGTTCGACTAAATACTGATTAATGATGAACATCCTGGTATAGTAACCTCGCCAATGACGTTGTAGAATTGTCGCCTTTTCGTGAAGTTTACGCAGATGATTGCGAGTAATGATACCACGGAACCAAGCCTAAATGCCAGAAACTTTAAATATATATATGTAATTATTAATGTTATTATTAATTATTATATATTCCGCGTTTATATAGCCGCGAATTTTAACTAACCTGAATCTTACGAGCCGCAATAAAATGCATAAGTTTTGATGATTCGGCTAAATCGTGTTTAATTTGAATTGCATTCCGCAATTCAATAGGATCAATCGCAAATCTTAACTACGACGCCATTTTTTTGATATATCGATTAACTCAAAAATATCTATTTAATAAATATTAAAAATTGTCAAAGATGATAATTTCTTACATTTTTAAAAAAGATATCAGAAGTCGATCGCATCTAATTGTGGCTTTTTTCGTATTATTAATTGATGATCTCAATGCACATTGTGTATGAACAGTTGTCATCGTGTATTTTGACAGTTTGTTGGTTAGATCGATTGACAACGCACGAATTTTTTAATTAGTATTAACAGGCAAAATAAATTAGAATTTATTAATTTTCAGGACACAAGTTTTGAATAGAAAGAGAAATTAAAAGAACTCTGTTAACAAAGTGATCAACATATATTTTTAGATATTGTATCTATTATAGATATATATCTTATAATCCAATTTGAAACAATGAAATCGATGTCGAATTAACGATTTTGATATGATGATTTTGACATCGAATCGACATCGATTCAATGTCAATTCTATTATCATTTTCGCTGGAAATTTCGATTTGCATATTTAATTTGTATTATAATACAAAATAATGACCGTCATGTAAAACGAGGTATATTTATTATTAAAATGCAAAAAATATGTGAATGCAAAACTACAAAAGAGTAGCTCGAGCTAGGCGAGTAACTCTAACATAATTGAGAGTTTTCTAGTTTTTTTTGTTAGTTCGAGTAGTCATTAATGTGCCACGTGTATAAGAATTACAGTAAACTTGAAAATAATATATACAAACTGTAAGAAATACAACTAACACAAGCATGAAGGCTGATGTTACGATTACTATCTTCAAGCTACTGTTTTTCTGTTGCCGAGTCCTTGACACTACATGGAAATCCCGTGACTGTAAATAAAAATATTCAGAAATATTATGTATTGCAGTGGATAAGCTATTGTTGTAAATTTAATGAAGTCAGTTGCGCGATTCTGCATTTAAGATTAATTTATTTTTTCGTTTTTGTATTATAATTACAATTAATACTGCCAGAAACTGCTTTACACAGTTATGATTACTCGATGCAACAATGTTTCTCATTATAGAGATCATAAACATACAAAAGGTTGTATTAACTGAATTATATTAGTGATTCAATTTGCGTGAATTATTAATACGAATCCGTAACTTTTAATTAATTTGAGTATTAATGGGAAATATAGCATGATTGTTATAATTTATGTTCTTGATTGATGTTTCATATTTCATATTTTTGAGCTTTTTCTCTGTCAAAAGCCAATATATGATAGAAAAGGGAAACGAGGAAGAGGAAGAAAAATATATCGAGATTTTCTTACCGATATTTCGAGATTCTGCGTTTTTCGGATGAGTTCGTCCAATCTTTCGCCCCTATCAATCAACTTTTGAACTCCATTCATCAAAATGCAACGCACTTCAATCAATTCTTCCTCTAACTTTGAAGTCAGATTCTTACAACCGATACCCTGATTATACTCTTCCTGAAATAATATCAATTTTGTTCTTTATATTAATATTTTATAATTTATCTTCATAAATTTATGTGCGACAATATCATTTATTTTTAAAAAGAAATTGTTATGAAATAATGATATCTTATGCTACAGTTTCATTATTGCCAATTATTAAAGCTAACCACAAAGTTTAAATTTATTACAAATAATACATAAATCGTTATTTCTGTTTTTTTAAAAAGATTTTAAAATTTTCGAATTAAAAAATTCCATTTTTTCTTCCCTACCCTATAAAATTATTTTATCACTTACAATTATTTTCTTTAATGGCTTTGAGAGATTATCTTCTGCGAAATTGGTTAAATTTTTCGATAAATCCGCTAACGGTAAGTCTCTATAAACTGTTCGTAGTCTCTGCAAAAATATTTGAGAGCACGATTCTACCCATATCGCTGATGAGGGACAGTTCACTTTCGATGTTAAACAAACGTAGTAAAGTTCTCCAATCAGCACATGTACCGTGTATCTATGGAAGAATTGTATTTTATTTTACTCATTGCAGCGCAGAGAGAGAAAGAGAGAGATAAAAGAAAAAATAATAATATAAGAACAAATAATAAATAACATACAAATATATGTGAAGATTAAATACGAAGTAGTAAACATGAAAATCGAGCTGACTAAAGAACTTGACTAAAAAGAATAACAGTAATGGAACATTAATCTTATCGTTAATTAATCCGTTGTGACCTATTACACTTGATTTCAACGAACATCATTACAAGAAAAATTACTACGTATATGTCTCTCATAATATATCTTATAATTTAACGCTTTTTAAGTAAAAAATAAGTTTAACACAAGAAATCTACAGCTTTTGCCACTTGAAATACAAGTATATAGATTTGATTGTACTTTCTCATTACTTATCATTCTTAAAATAAATTTAGCACATTGTTTGCATGTGATTATTATGATGTGCATGAATTTAAAAATCTTACCTACTGTTATCGACGCTGATCTTGTCGTCCTCGACAGTTTTTAGGCCATCGATAGTACTGAGAGCGATAGTACGATAGATCGAGCTTAGATTTGTGGAATAATCCGCAATGATCTTGCAACCGGATGTCCCACGTAAAACTATCATAGCGTAGTGCACCGTTCCGTTCATTTCAGCCACAAATGAAGACACCACTTGTTGAACGGATGATGGGTGGATACTACTGTGTTGTCTGTCAAATCATACAGCGTTCACAGATGCCAGAAGAAGCAACGTTGCCGGTTGTTTATCCCAATTCCGATAGCCCAGTGAATAACGAAAGAAGTTCGATAAAACCGATAACAATACACGTATACGTGCCACATATTTCGCATGTTACGCAAATTCGTTACAAGAGATGAACTGCATAACACCGATCGACCTTCATTTACCGAATTGCCGCATGTTTGCCCATTCAATAGAATTTAATTGATAATTGATTATACAGGGTGTCCTAAAATTCGTAGTTCAAAATATTAGGTATATAAAAATCCTATTTGATTAAATTAATTAATCTCTCGTTTAGAGATGGGCAAATCAATCCTTGGTTGATGCAATAACATAATTTAGTGTGAAGTAAAAAGTTTGGTTATCGTAACATTTTACTTGTTTTTGATAACACAAATAAAATGTTACAATAACCAAATTTGAGAAATTTGTTTGCCCATATCCAAGCAAGAGATTAATTAATTCAACTAAATGGGAGTTTATTTCAGAGTAGCAGGGAAGTTTTGAAAAAATTAAGTAAAAAAGTTATTTGTAAATTTTTTTTATATTTAAAAATATTTATTATGTTTTAAATTTTAAATTTTAATTTATAGTTTCTAAGATAAAAGGATCTAAATATGGCCAATTATGGACTTCTCCCTGTGTCTCGTTATTGTAAAACTTAGCGAAATTTACCTACGTATTTTTTAAATATTATTTTTTACTAAAAGAGTACACGATTAAACAAATGTCAAGCTGTATAGGAATCATTTTGCGCTGTTGTTATTTGCAAATTCTCAGTCTGTTTCCAACAGAAGCGAGACAGCGCTTATATAAACGACGCCGCAAAACGCATGCGGAATTATCGCGCGTTGTTCCCTTGAGACGCGACAAAGGCTATTGACTGGACGTCGAGCGGAGGGAAAATAAAATTCAGAACATCGTCAACCTGTTACCGAACGATTCGCCATTGACGTTCCATCTACGCTTACGATACATGCTGTCAATCAAGACTTGTATATTTACGTTCAGATGTTCTCACGTGAGTGAAAACGTCGAAGGAGAGAAGATAAAAAAATTGGGATATTTTTTATATTTAAAGTCGATATATATTTAAAATCGTTAATTAAAATCAATTATAAAAGCTGCTGAATTAAGGAAAGCAAGGGCATCGGATAGTATAACACTTTAAGTTGCTTTGCATTGAAAAAGAAATTAATTAAATTAATTTGAAATAGCTGTTATAACAATTTTTGACTATTTAGTAAAACGTGAATGATTAAAAATTTTATTAAGACAATCAAACAAATTTGCATATATAATGGTTGCATATAATATTACAGTAATCATTGTTGTAACATTTGATTGAATACATTCTGATGCAAATAACAAAAATTTCGGTTGAAATAATAGAAGCTTTTTATTAATATAATACATTTTGTCAAAATATCGTAACTTTTCAAGTCGTAATATACATGAATATATAAAACTTTAACAACATATATCAAATTTTAATTAACTAGATGTTACACCTATAACATGTATAAATATATTGTAAATGCTTATAAAATTAAAAATAAAATTTCAGCAAAATACACCGCGGTTTTTAATTTCTTTTTTCTAAAAAAATTATTTAATCTTATTCGAACTATTTGAAGAACTTTGATTTCTCGGTTGTTACTTAATACGAAGTTTAATGAAAAAAAAAAAAAAGAAAAACGGTAAATGACTTTAGCATTGATCCGGCACAGACACAGATATGATTTAAATAATGAGCAGATGCACAAATGTTTTATCGCAAAATTCAAATATAGTACAAGCGATAATAGAAGAGTAGCTTTACCAGCTGCCGCTTACGCGGAATAACTACCTACGTCTGGATAGAGCCATGCTTTACGATCTCTAATCATTGGTCTGTTCTACCGACATGCAAGAGAGTGCAAGGTCGAGCGCAAGGCGAGATAACTACTTGTATTGTGATTGCAAAACTGACGGAGCTTTCCATCATAAATATTTAAGTAAAAACGATACATCAGACAAATGCCCGTTTATGTGATAGGTCATCATCTCATTTCACCAAAGAAGTAGATAGCGTCTAGCAAAGAGCACAACAGGGGACAAATCACAATTTTTATCTTGTGCTTCAAAAAAGAACTGTCGTTTTTCCACTTAACATCCGACACATTCACATTCTATTTTGTTTTCATATACATATCTATATATATAATAAACAATTTTTTGTTTAATATATTGAAAGAAAAATTATATTAGGAACAACAAATAATAAAAGTATTAAAAAATTGGAGTAAGCTAATTCTGTCGGTTAAGTTATCTTTGAGAAATTTACAATTAATTAAGATATTTTTTATCGAAATCATTCGATCACAGAGTGTTTTGTCGTTAATTTATCGTTTCATCTAATTTTTAACACATAAATTATTATTACATGGTTGTTTGTTCTGATTGTAAAAGAAATTATTTTCTGTTATTATATTAATGTTTAATTGTTATATTTCCAATTGTAATCGGACTGATCACATCTATTTTTATAAAGATTATATAAACATTAATATTTTGCGATCTAAACTATTTTCTGTTATGAAAGCGGAAATCAAGTATCTTTTTATTCTAGTGGCTTTAATATAAACGAAATTTTTATTATTATTAGAAACTTTAGAGATTTCAAACATACAGATTTTCTGATTATAATATGCATTAATTTGAATGTTTATTACAGAACCGCGTAAAAACTTTATATGGTATAAATTAGATCAAATATAGTTCAACGTAAAACTGCAAAGCATTAACGTATCGTGTTGCGGAAACGAGAAGATAGAACTGTATAAAAATATGTTCAGAATTAAGAATTAGCTGTAAGAAAAAAGAAATGTAAATCATTGCAACTTTTATGTTCTTGCATAACAGAATGCGGCAACGTGTTGCACGTGGCGCAGTAACCGATCGCATTATGTACTTTGTTGTTACATATTTATTATTCCCCGAGAAAAAACGAAAGGCTGTTATATGAGTTACGCGTGCGTTTCTTCTTAATCTTATCACATTTTGTAAGCGGGATTTATAAACGAATATTATTACACTTAATCATCTATCATGTTAACAAATAAGCAAAATAAATATATTCTCCGAGATTTATACTCGGAAAGTTCCTTTCATTTCTCAAAACCTGAAACGCAACTCAACATTTTTCTTGCATTTTGAATGCGAGAAGTGCAACTTAATTTTATAATATATTCATTTCTATTATACGCGAATAATTTTAAAGTTTTAAGATTCACTTTAATCTTAATAATTTAATTTACTTTGGTCCATTTCTACCACTAATATAGATTAACTTTAATCTTGGATTAATTTATTTTTATCTTTCCTAATTCTTAGAACTACAAGACGATTAAAAGACGAAGTCATCATCAAGGTTAAAGTCAATCTGCATTGGTAGAATAGACGTGTGTTTTTCTCATTTTTTAAAACTGAAAGAGGATAAAAAGAAACTTGAATTAAAATTAAAACTAATCTACATTAGATAGAAATTGATATTATTTCTATTCATTTTTATTAATGTATATACGTATTAATTTTAATCCTGATTTAATTTAATCAATTTTGTTTTCATTCTTGAAATTAGAGGAAGATAAACTGAGATTGAAGTCAGTCTGCATTATTAAAAACGGACAACAGGCAAATAAGTAAGTCTGCTCGCGGATGAAGAGCGGAAAGTATCGATGAGAACTCGCGGTGCAAGGTGCGCGGTCGGTCAGTGACGTCCCGCTATTCCATCGTAGCCGACACGAACGGTGCGGCGACGACGACGGCGACGGTGACCGGTGGCCGCGCGAAAGTCGCTGGTGGCGGCAGCAGGTGGCGGCAACTGGTGGCGGTGCGGCCAATCGGCTGTCTCGAATGATCGCTGCGCGCGGCGGGCTGCGCGACCGTCCTCCTGTCCGCCGAGGAGCCGTCAGTGTGCGCGCCGCGGAGAAGCAGAGAGACAGACATCTTGTAGATAAAATTTAGCGGCGTGGTGCCTCGACCGCGAGTGTCGGTGTTCGCGGTTACGTGTCGCGGTGCTTCGTGTCGTTACGGTGTCCCGGTCCACGTCGCCGTCGTCGCCGTCATCGTCGTCGTCGTCGTCGCCGTCGTCGTCGTCGTCGTCGCTGCCGCCGTCGCCGTCGCCGCCGCCGTCGTCGTCGCCGTCGTCGTCGCCGCCGCCACCGCCGCCGCCGCCGTCATCGTCGTCGTTGTACTACTCCACGTCGTCCTCACCGCCGCCTCCACCACCACCATCACCACCATCGCCGCTGTCTCGAGATCATCACCGTCCCCCAACGTTCTCCAACTGCTGCCCGTAATCGTGGTGCCGCGTTCGCGGGGAGGACTCGCTCTCTGCTCCGACTCGTGGCCAACTTCATTCCTGTCAACCACACAAACCGCCGAGTTGTCGCCATCGCCATCTAAAATCAGCCATCGCCGCCGCCGCCGCTCGACGTCGTCGTGCGGCTCGCGCGTGGTGCCGTGGTCCAGCTATCCCGAAGCGAGCCCGCGAGCTCGCTAGAGAGAGCCCGACGGGGATCACCTCCTCCCCCTCCTCTCTCTCTCTCCTATCTCTCCGTTCCCCGCCGCTCGTCGATACTCGCGTGCACCCGCGAGTGCACGGTCGCGCCTACCCTCTCCCCCCTTCCCCCCGGGGTGCGAGAAGGGGATCGCCCTGAGAAGAAGGACCGAGGGAGTAGAGATCTCGTCCGAGAGGAAGAGCGAGAGAGAGAGAAAGAGAGAGCGCGAGAGAGAAAGAGAGAGAGAGAGAGTAGCGCCGTCTCTTCCCCTTTCTCCCTCCCCCCCTTTTTCCCCCCTCGTTCGCGTCGGTGGCTCCGTCAAGAACGCCCGTGAACAGTTCCTAGGCACCGATGTGCCGCGCCGTGCGATAACTTCCGTCACCTCTCCGCCACCCTCTCTCCCTCCCTCCCTCCCCCTCGTCAGACCGACCGACCGTCCGGCACCCCCCCCCCCCAGCGCGTGTGTACATGTGTGAGTGCGGCGGCCGCGCCGGGCTCTCGAGGTGAAAATACCGCCCTCTCCTTCTACCCAACCCCTCCGTATATAATACGCCTGAAGGTAGCCGCTATCTCGCGCGAGTAACAGCACGCGAGACAAGAGGGAAGAGGAGGAGGTGGACGACGACCAGGAGGAGAAGGTGGAGGAGGACAAGAAGCAGAAGAGGAGGCGGAGGAGGCGGAGGGCGAGTAACGGTGCGAGAATAGAGAGGTGGAAGAAAGCGGAAAAGAAAATACGGCGCGGACGAGGCGCGGGCGCGAGCGAGAAGGACAGCGCGAGAGGCGAATCTGCTGCTGAGTGAGAGAGAGAGAGAGAGAGAGAGAGGGGCGCCCACACTCGTCATTTATCCTAATACAGCATGACCTCCAACAATTCGCAGAAACTCCCCACGACGGATCGAGTGATCAAAAGTAAGCGATATAAGTAAACATAGTTTAACATCGCCGCGACGGAACGCATGCTCCCGCCGCGCGCGACCAATAATGCGAGAGTTGGGCGAGAGTGCGTATCGCCCGTGTATATCGTGCATACATACTGTGTGCATAAATGCAATGCGTGCAGTGTTAACATGGGCCCCGTCTTTTCCGGCTCACCTCAGTCGGTAACGTCGCCATCGCTCGCGCGCTCCGTTTCTTACTTTTTTTAAATCATTTCTCAATTACGTTCCGGTGATTTCATGAAACCGGCGTTCGTGCAGCCTCTCGGCGATAACTTGTAATCTCTATAATTTTAGACTTGAATGTCGCGAAGACGAAAGAAACGCGATTCTCTCGCTTCTGCGAGCGAGAGAGGGCAAGGGAATCGCGTTTCGCCGGCTTCTAACGTCGCCAAGCGTTGCTCGCGAAGCTCGCTTGCTCCGATCCGCTCGCAAGAAGCGGAGTGGACGCAAGTCAAAACATGCCGCGTGTCGTGCACGCGATTGATTTTCCGCCTGTTTTCCTGATCGGCGGCGCCATTTCTATCGACTGGTCCGGCGGTGGTTTCGCGAGAGCGGCGCGGAAACCGCGGCTACTCCGCGCGAGAACTCTTCATCACGACGAGAGAGAAGGAGAAAGAAAGAGATAAAGATATCGACTCGCATTCGCAGCCGGGAGCTCCACGAGACTTTCGTCTCGGTCCAGCGGCACTGGTTAACCTAACCTCCTAACCTCGCGCAGCGACCAACCCCCGCCATCTTCCCAGTAGGTTTCGCCACCCTCCTCCCCCCAGAGGTCGCGCCGCTCGGTCAGCCTCGTTTCCGCGGGGTCGAGGAACGCGATACGTCTTGAGAGCGCGCGGCCGCCGTGCTTCTTTGCCATCCCGTCCCTGCACTCGAACAGCTGATGCGTTACGTAGGGCACGCATGCACGCACGCACGCACGCACAGCAGGCACGTATGTGTACACGTACGCGGGAAACGTGTGTATGTGTGTGTGTGTGTGTGTGTACAGGCGTGCGTGTACAATCGACCGCGCGCGTGACGCGAAGACGCCGGGCGTCCGCTGTTAAAGAGGCGATACCAAGGCGTTTCTATAGACGACTCCAAAAAGTCGCCCGCTTATAGATGTATGTACTTGTTGCTCGTCGCATATTTGGCGATTGCGTTTTCTGAAGTATCGAGGGCGAGAATAAAGCTTGAGACACGATTGAAATGGGCTTTCTACGATAAGTCATTAACTGAGCTTTAAGTATTAAGAAAGTTGCCAATCACAGAGTCGAAAGTGAGATGAATAATCGACTATGATTGATCGATTTCTTATGATTGAAGACTTAAGGATTAGGCAATGGCTTATTGTAGAAGGTCTAAAAAATACAGATAATTGGAGCAGGGGCTCTATTCTTGAAAAGAAACGTATACGAAAGTGTAGAGAAATACTATAGTATACGTAACGTATTGACTTTCGTATACGTTTCTTTTCAAGAATAGACCCCCAGGTATTAATCGATTCCAATATAACTTTATGTAAATCAGAATACACAGTTTCTGATAGGTTGAAAATTCTGTTTCTATTTTCTATGCTTTTTAATTGCGTATTAAGCCTAAAATCTGAGACACAATTAAAAATCTCATACTGCGAAGAGAAGTACGAACTGTATATATCTCTACTCCACACGTTTGAGCAATTTACGTGTGCGTATGTGAAATCTCTTACATGGTTCGGTTTCTCTGCGTTCGGCTAATCGACGTTTTTTATCTTGTATTTTCTATTTATATTAGTTTATTTTCATTATTCTTCTTTTTTAATTTTATATACAGTAAAAACAATTTCTATAATGGTATTTTTCTTATTATTTCACGTTTCAGAGCTTTGTACATTTGTAATGTTCTTGAGGAAATCACCCCATACATTTATTCAACGTGGAAATAAAAAGAAGAGAGAGAGAGAGAGAGAGAGAGAGAGAGAGAGAGAGAGAGAGAGAGAGAGAGAAAAATTTAACTAAAAATTAGACCTTATGTTTCAAGATTGATTTGACGAAAATTCGGCGCTACGATGGTCGCGTTCAGCAGAATAATTTATTTTATAATTATTGGAAGTTTTCTTGACTGAGTGAGATAGGATTATATATTCCCCTAGATCTAAAAGTGATCTAAAAGTATAATCCAATCAGCATGACGAAAACTTACAATAGTTGCGAAATAAACGTTCTGCTGAACGTGATCGATGTCGGAGGGGCAAGGGAAGAAGAAACAGGTGAAAAGGTCGGGGCACCACCGGTACCTGTGGGTCACCGAGAACAAGCGCCAAAAACGAGACCGGTTTAGGACGCACAGGTGGCACCTCGTCGGGTCGTTGATCCTTCACCGAGTGGCGCTTCTGTGTTTTCGCGCTTTGGTCTTTTCCTCCTCTCTTTTACGATTTTTCCTCGGTTTTTAACTTTCTCTCCCTTTTCTTCCTCCACTCGAGCGGACGCCTCGTGTCTGCGACGTCGCACTTCCGGCTTCCTATGATGCCAACGTGACGCTCCGATTCTCGAATGGGTGAATGTGGGTCACGAAATTGACGAAACGGAAGTGCGCGCGCGAACAGCTAAATATTTTAACGTCACTGGGAGGTAGTCTTTTTATTTTTTTTTTTTCTTTTCCTTTCGACGCGAGACCCAAGCTGCGCGCGATATAAATAATTATCTAATCACTCGTCTGACACTTCCAAACAGAAAGGCGACGTAATATATCAGTAATTTACGCGTCTCCGTTTCTACGTCGCGCGTTTTACTTGCAACGTCACCTCGTTTCTGCCTAGAGTTTGTCTTAAAATGTCGATTTTACTGGAATCGTAAAATTTAGTAGTGTAATGTCTGCGACGCTCGAGCGTCAGATAATCCATATTCCAATAATGCCGATTATGTAGATTGTAGATTAAGAGACAGATGTGTATTAAAATATGTAATACTAGGAGTATAAAAGTATTTGGTATTTGTGACTGTAATTTTATAGTAAAATTATAGTTAGGAACTCCATTTTTACTGTAGTAGTAATAATAGTTGTTTATAATATTAGCAATAATAATTATTATAATTGACACCGAAAATGACTGTAAATTATAGTTGTACATGTTTTTTTTACACAGCTCAGTAAAGCAACATAGGATATTATATGAATAAAGAGCAAATAGTATTCATACAATATTCTAGGAATATCGTGTATTTATAGGGGAACAAAATTATAAATATAATTATTATTATTAACATCGTAACACTAATACCGATAAAACCTCTAACCATAATTATTTGACTGTACAATTATAATCTTAAATACCAAACACACTTTTCTCTCAACGGAAGAAACACTTAACTGCGAGAAGTTTGATGATACACTTTACAGAACCAAACGGCAGACCGTTTGATCGTTGTCTCTAGAATAAGCAGTCGAGGATCGGTTATGGCGTTCGGCAAGAAAATCGCGTTTATTTTTCCTCCGAGATATCGGGAAAGGTTGAGAAACGCTGAGCAGTGTGTGTGTGTACATTAGAGAGAAGGTCGTTTTAATTCGTGCCATTTAATGCGAGTATGCGAGAATCTCGAAATCATTTTAACGCGCGCTCATCTTAATTGGCTTACAAGGGGTGTGTAACTCTGTCGTCGCACATACAGCGTGCTCTTTGTACGGGAATACTCGCGGCTGCGTAAATAATGTTTCACGGCCATAACTCATTGCTCGCGACGTGAAAATGTCGTAATTCCTGGCGCGTCTCCAAGAGCGCCGCGGATCTTTAATCGTCAACTTTTTCACACGCCATACCGCGTTCTTCGTTATTCGCGAGGAAAACCACGTTTTCCCTTCCGACAGGTGACGCGATTCGTTTGCGCGGTGGTGCTTCTTCTTTTTCCCCTTTTTTTTCCTCTCACCTAACCGCAGAGTATCGCAAATCGCAATGCCTCGGACGCAAACGCATTAACGTAATCTTTCGCGGTAAATGCAATGCTCGTCTCGAGGAACGTTTCGCGCAAGCACGCTTCTAATCGTCCCACTCGAACGTGCTAAATCGTAAGGAACGATCTTCGAGCATGGCTTATCTCGACTTTCCTTAAGACGTGAATAAACGTATAGTATCTCCCGCCGCCGATTGCTGCTTCGCTCGGTTATCCTTCCGCGTAACTTCGTAACGTCGCCTGAACGAGCGTACTGCGCCTTCTCGCCAAGTAATTTATTCTACGAACGTATACTCGTAATTTCGAATGTTTCGCCGCCCGACGGAGATGCGGGGATGCACGTATAGTTAAAATTCAGGTCGTCACGCGTTTCAAGATGTTTGCGTTTGATATTATAAACCGCTTTTCCTTTAACTCTCGAGGGTGTAACCTCTTGCACATATAATGCTTAGCATTCTCGCAGCGTCTCTTTGTGCGTTCTCTCTCTCTCTCTCTCTCTCTCTCTCTCTCTCTCTCTCTCTCTCTCTCTCTCTCTC